CTCTCCCTCTCCCTCTCCCTCTCCCTCTCACTGAATAATTTTGGCATTGGGATAATCCATGCAGTGAATAGGGCAATAATTCATGGGAGTGGGCATGCTGTGTGCAAGGGAGTTTCCATTTTTCATGGTTGGGGAGGAACACTTTAGTGTGTCTTTCTTTGCTTCTGAATCACATTAAATCATAGAGATCCATGTAACTTAAGATTGCAACTGCAATCTTGTTGTATAACCTGCATCTTAGAAAGGAATTAACCATGTCTTTGAATTGAACCAGAAAATAATTCGTTCAGTTGATTCACATCTTTTTTGTTTTGGTCTCCTAGCAAATCCTTAACAGCTCTGATTGGCATCAAAACTGCATTGGCGGAAAAGGGTTTCTAATAAATGAAGCTGGAATGCAAAATCTCTGCTTTGACTTGACCTTTCAAGAACAAGATACTGCCTTTGATTCAACAAACATGGGTATAAACATTTTACCTATACCTTCAGATTGTAGAAATTTATCTGTCTCTCTTTATCTCATCAGAGTATTACTGAATAATAAATGTCCTTTGTCACATGTTAGGGCCTTCACTCTGATAGTTCTACTCACAAATACCTTCAGGCCAGCATTATAGAGCCATGCATTGCTGTTCTCATATTGCCCTATCATAACAGGGGTGCTGGGGTACATGTGCTGCATTTCATGGAAGTAAATGCTGATTGGAATGATGATGATTGTGGCTAAGATTTTGCTACCCGTATTTAGTCACAGACCTCTATCCACTCTCCCAGGCTAATGAGAGCTCCACTGGGAAAGAGAAGATCATCATACACATATATGCTTAGTAACGGTTATGGGAGTTCCATTGAACTTGTGATAGATTCTCCACTATATTTAAGTTTCCAGGGAAACCACATTCTAAATGTTGACTTTTCTTTTTTCTGCAGAAGTAATTCCACTTGACTCAAAGCCCAGCCTGGAATTCTCTTTGTTGGAGTCCCTACGACCGACCAGTTTGCCACCTATACCTTGTGGCATGTAAACCTTTTTATCACTAGGCTTGTACTGCTTTATTTTGGATGTCATACGCATAACTGGCACATTGATCAGTTGTTGACACTCTTCAAGTTTAGAATCGAAAAGTCCAAGCCATGTGTGCATATGTGTGTAGGAATATCTTTGTGATAAAACTGCACTTCATGTGCCTAACTACATTATGAGCCAGTTAAGGCGTGTTTGCTGCTTTTCCCCCCTGTTCATCCATTAGTAGGACCAGACATAAATAATTTTAAACATGGAGAAAATAAAAACAGAAGCTTTGTACTGTTGGTAAATTGACATACATTTTAAGCCCATCCAGAGTGTAGCTTAACATTACCCATTGGAAAATTGGTGAAGCACTTTGTGAATTCTAGTTTAACTATTTGTCTCTGAGCATTCAACCAGATATTTCTTGGTTACCAACTGTTTAGCATAAGAAACTGTGAAAATCAGATACGTTCTTTGTTCTGTATATTAATTCTTCAGAATTTTATTTATAAGGCATTCCACTGGTTACTTTGGACATATTTTAGATTATTGCCACATGACATTTTTTCCAGTGAAAATATGCATTAAAGCTGGTTGGTGAACATATGGATTATTTGCATTGTGCTTTTCAAAATATCAACTGAATAGGTATTGTGGAGAGTCTAAAAAATGCATAATGGATTATTTGCATTGTGCTTTTCAAAATATCAACTGAATAGGTATTGTGGAGAGTCTAAAAAATGCATAATGGATTATTTGCATTGTGCTTTTCAAAATATCAACTGAATAGGTATTGTGGAGAGTCTAAAAAATGCATAATAGGGTTATACCAACTAAACCACAAAATAAAAAAAAAAGGATTTGGCAAAGTGTCAGACTACTAGGCTTCAATTTAAATTCTTGTACATTCTTTTCCTTGTACATACGTTTTTGTATATAAAATTTACAATTATTTTAATAAAAGATTATATTATATATGTATATATGTTAAGTTTTCTTTTTTTATTACACATCACTGATAAAGGAATTAGGAAACTATTTTCTTAGTTTGACTAAGAATTTCTGTATACCAGACTCTTTAGTGCTGCTAAGACACTGAAGACATTTCTTCATTGAAAATGAAGACATTTTCGTCAATGAACAGGAATATTCATTCTACCTCAAACAATACAGTATATTATTTACCTATTCCTTTTATACTCCCTTGAGCTTCTGAAGAATGGTGTGTAGAAATTAACTTTCAACTAAAGGAATCTCAATCAAACTTTATTCAGGTTTAGTTACCCCAAAATTAAACCACATAAATCATTTAAAAAGATCTTGAGAGTCAGATTTGGAAACCAAAATAAATGCTATGGACTGGAAAAGGTATGGGTCTAAGGCACTATTTTGATCAGTGCTTGCCTGTATGATTTTTAAAAAAGATTGTGAGCAACAAGCATATTACACTTGTCCCATTTGCATTGAATTAATCAAGTTCCTGCATGAGGTTGAAAAGAATGTCAGTAGATCAAGACCTACCATTGTAGGTAGAATCTCCAGAGTTCTTTTTACTTCTGGGTCAGTACAGTATATTTGCTGAACTTCCTTAGATTATAAATCAGTAATGACTGGATTTTCAAAGATTCATTCAGGGTATTCCGTGCCATGATAGGAATCTCCTTGTTTTGTTCTTGGCCAGTGACCAAAGTGAAGATAAATTGCTACTGGAAAGAGGCAGCAGATCACTCTGTAACTGCTTGGTACATCAAAGTTTGGGAGTTAGTACAGCCTGCAAACAAGGACAGATACTATTCACAATGTATCAAAAGGAGTTTGATATAGTTTATGTTATAAGTTTATGTTAACTCATCCATACAGTTCTTCCCTCTTTAGTTAACTGTCTTGGAAAAACCTGTTTAAGTGTTGAGGTTTGATACTTGTATTTCTTAGAGTGGTTTTCTTTTTGTAAATTGAGATCTTATACTTAATCTTTTAGATTAAATAAAATAGCCACATTTTCCTATTGATAGCTCCTCTTCTGATGTTATTTACAAAGAAACCCTATTCAACAAACATTTCCCACACTTTTGAATGAACTATAATTTGCAAGCTGAGCTAGTTCTATTGCTTCCTGCTAATTCTTGTAAAAGAATTAGCTGCTATATACAGTAAACTACTGAAAAATGGTATTGCCACTCAAGTCAGCGATTGCTTATACTATAATCTAGTTGATCTTCAAGATCCAAGCTTTCACACTTTCTTCAACATTTAAATTTCTTCAGACTTGGTCGAAATTTGTATGGCTACCACAGAGTATGGGAAACATATAACATCAGAGATGGGGTTATTTCTTATACTGGGTCCAGATCTCATCTTGCTGTATCAACTCAAACCATGACTGTATCTGAATCCACCCACTGCAGGTTTCTAAGCTCATGATTCCAAATCATGTCTGTTCCAGCAAAGAATTAAATGTTGCAGCATGATTTAAGACATTGAATGAAATCTTACTTTTCCACACAGACTTCTCCCCCCCCCGACCCCAAAGTCTGGGAGTATGTACTATGAATGAATGCGCTGGACTTTCCAATTCTAGTTGGATACGTTTTGTGACATTAGAATAAAACTCTTAATCCCTCCATTGCCCTCCTTCCAAAAATAAATAGTAGTAGTAGTAGTAGTAGTAGTAGTAGTAATTTTGTCTAAAACTACTAGTAGTAGTAATTTTGTCTAAAACTATTCAGGTAGCATAATAAGTATCAAATGAAATTGCACAGATAAGCGCACACTGTGAGCTCACAGTGTCAAATTCCATTTTACCATTATGAAACTCAGCAATGAATATATAAAAAAAACAGTAATTGTAAAATCCAGGGATTTTTAAAAATTTTTTAATGAGGAAAAATTGCTGAATTCATGCATAATACATATTTTGTTGTTAGTTTCTATAGATCAGGGTGCTTGCTTTGAATATTAGAGTGTATCTCCAGTATATGTATTAAATTGGTTAACAGCTACTTCCTTTCTCCTTCCATCTTAGTGAATTCGGGCACCAATTTTCAGCTTCATATGTGTGCAAAACCCCCAAAATTCAAATCTATCCATTGTATAACTTTCTCTAAATTAACAAATGCACATTAAACTTTTGCACATGCATAAATTTCTATTACACTATAGTAAAAATATTTGCACAAATTAGTGAAATAATATAAAAAGATTGTGATTATGTTTTTATGTGTGCTATTAAGAACAATTCCTGACAAGTTCTTGGGTACCTTGTTTATATATAAAACTTTTTAATTATGCTTCTTTCATTTTTAATGGTTAAAACAATTACAAAATGAGAGAATGTGATGATATTTGTGCCACTTTAAAAGAAAACTAAAAGACTGTTCACCCAGTTATTTAACTCTAATTTATAAAATAATAAAACTGAGTAGTAATGCGAATAGTGATTTTGGACTCATATAGGTAATTATAATTTGTATTTTTTAGTTTGCAGGATTGTTTGGCCTTTGCTATTTGGCAATGATGCAAATTCTATGAAGTTCTTTATCAAGGAACATATTTAAAACAAATATTGAAAGGTATTAATCCTGTATCTTAATTTTTCAAAAGCCTTTTATCCCATCCCCCTACTTCCACATTTGGCTGGAGGGAAACCAGTGCAACTTAGCCGGCTCTTATTTAGCTGCTTTCCTTATTTAGAGACTCAGGGACCCGGCAGGTGTTCATCTAGAGAGAAAATTGGAAAGCTGAATTTAAGCTGCCTCCACAGTGGACTGGGGATGAGACAGAGGCAATGTCTTAAAGAAGTGTGACGCTTAAAATGGTTATTGGGGCACATACCCGCCTAGTTCCCTTGGCAGATGTGAAGATCAGCCTTCATTCTTCCAATATAGGATTTCTCGGACTTTCTACTCTTTGGGCCCATTTGAAAGGACAAACAAAATCACTGAAACCTTTAATTAAGTAGATATAAATGGACCCAGAACACAGAAGGGTTATCCCTGAAAGAACCATCAGCTGATTTTCTGAGGTGAATATTTGTTCTAATCTGCCTGTTGCTCTGATCTTTTGTCTGGCAGAATTCAGGAGATGTAGAAACCTTCCTGAAAACATCAGAAATCCCATGGCAGATCCAGAGCCTCAGTTTGAGGAATGCTGCCTCAGTGACTTCCCAGATGTGTTTGCTTACTGAAAAACACATCTGAGAAACACATCTCTCCCTCGGAATTGCAGAACCACAGTCAGCTTATTCCAGAGTCAATGGTCAACACAAGGAACTCCCAGATGTCCAGCCTTCTGATCACCTAAGCCTTCCAATCTTAAAAGAAGTGCTTGGGGGGATATTTATGGTCACCAGGATGCAAGTGCAAAGGAGAGGGCTACTTTATAGTTGCTTCAGCTATTTTATTTTTTATTGCATTTATACACCGACAGAATCAAGAATGGACTTATGGCAGTTTCCAACACAAAACATACTGTGAAAATAAGAGTAAAAGAGGGAAACATTATAAAGCCACAGAAGCAACCAACCCCAACTCATAGAACAACCATCAGTGCTCATTTGGTGCTAAACAAGAAGGGCCTTTTCCTATCACTTTTGTTTCACTCACAAAATAAAAACCATTTCAACTCAGTAAAGAAAAAAAGATAATTAGTTTTGGGTCCTTTCCATGGTGAGAATCTATCAAACCATCTACCCTACTCTGTAATTGAGGTCTTTAATCAGGTGCTGACATCCAGCCATATTGCTGGGTTACCAGAACTGAGCGGCAGGTTGAGCCCCATTTAGTGAATTCAAAACTCTGCAGTTCAAGCTAGAAAAATGAAATATCACTTCCACAGCAATACTTCCTGCTTGCTAAGGGGCAGTTCTGGTTTGCAACAAACATGTTCCTACAGGCCCAGAGAACTAGCACTTAGTGCAAAGTAATTACTCTGCAATAATGTAGGGGTCATGATCAGATTGACATTGTCATTTAGGAAGCCCCACAGAGGACCTTCAAGGTCTTGTTGGCCACAATAGTGGTGATATCCCCGAAGATGTCGCCAATAAGACTCCGGGCACGAGAAAGGTCTGTTAATGGTTTATTTGGTACCAAACAAAGTGGGTCCCTCTCCCAAGAGAAGGAACCCCCATTTGCGCACACAAAACTTTTTATACCTCAGCCTGCCGCCTATTGGTTATCTCGTTGCGCAAGCGTTCTGAAACTTTAGTTATATAAGTGTTGACTTCCTTCTGACCAAATAAGGTCTTTCCCCTCCCTAAGGCATGGAATTATGTAATTGGGGGCATTGTTTTTAGTATGCTAATGGGCCCTTTGGTGACCTCTGTTCAAAGATGTCTCCTGCTGCCCTTACTGGTCTATCCCGTTCCAGACAGCCTTTTCTACATTGCTGGCAGGTGCAGCATTCACTTCCCATGTCACTCTCCTCAGTCTTACTGTCACTTTAAAACAACTCAGCATACATTTCTTAGAACAGGGACAGCAACAAGTAAATCTGGATTGAAAGTTGAATCACTTGTTGGTCTGCAGCAAATCAGCAATAATTTCAAACTCTCCATAATTTAACACTAGCAAACAGCTACAATCAAGAAAGTGTGTGCAACAGGTTTTAAGTGCAAACTTAAGTTCTCTGCCATTTGTTTAATGTTTATGTGCCCTACTGAGCCACTCTTTGTCTTCTGTCGGAAGGTAATAAACTGAGGTTCCAGTGAAAAAGTAAAATAGAATCCACAAACCAAATGACTACCCGCAACTCTGCTTTAGGAGAAAACTCCCAGCTTCTGCATTAGAAGGTATCTAATGCAGAAGAAACTCTTTTCTCAGTCAGGAAATCAATGAGTCATGGAAAATTTGCATTCCATGACTTGCTGATTTCCTAATTGAGGAATCATGTTTGGTTTCTGCAGAACTCCACAGTTCCTCAGTATATAGCTAGAAACCCATTATCATGAGCAATTAGTACAAAGGGTGTATTCAAAACTTCCTTATACACTTCCAATACACAATAGAAAAATAGGTTTCTGCTCATTGGCTTAAACTCCAATATGTGAAAAATCTTTAGGGTCTCTTCTGAAAGGCAGCATGTGGATATACAACTATGCTAAGTAGCGTCTTGCTATTTGGGAACATTATGTGGGGGAGCAGGAAGTAGAGAGAGACCCTATTTAGCCTAGTGAGACAGAGAGAGAGAACTGTTATGTATGTTCTACAGCAGATGTGTACAACTTCTGTCCACTCAGAGGCACACTAGGCTTTGTACAAGTGACACATCCAAAAGTGGGTGATGGCAGGCTCTGTATTTTGGTGATTTCAGGGGTTTTAAGAAGTAAAATGGATGTCTTAATTCCCTGAAAGATTTAAAGTATATATTTTGCCCTTTACCCTGAAATCTAAAAAATGCAAAAAAGGGGGCTAAACATATTGGCCCCACCCACACTGGAAGACTATGACAATCATGGCAGGTTGCCTGAAGCTCCCAGGTTCTACTTTCTGGATTCCTGCTCCAGAGTCAGGGATCACCCATGATACATGAATAGCAAGGAAAAAATGGACATTGAGGAACTTCTCTTCATTTCAAAACACTAGAACAAATGACCATCTATAAAATTGATTGGAAGATCTAGAACTAACCAAAAAAAAGCCATTTTTCATACTGTGTATAATTATTCCGTGGAGCTGAATTCATTATCTCAAAAAATAATGGTGGCCTTTAACTTGGAAGGCTTTAAAACAGGTCTGGATAAATTCATGAAGGATAGGTCTATCCAGAGTAATTAGTCTTGAAGACTCAATCTTACTACTGGGACAGAAGCAGTATGATCTCTGACACCAGTTGCAAGGAAACAATGGTGGGACAGTGACATGTCTCCATCCAGTGAGCACCTGAGGAGCATCAGTTTGGTCACTGTGAGGATCAAAATGCTGAGCTATGGGTTCTTCCTTGTTGTCAGGTTTATGTGCAGCCCTCTCATCCCTGAATTAGCAGAATGGTGTGATGGCATAATTTTCTCAGTCTGATGGCCAAGCTCTATTCCACCTCAGTTATGAGGCTAGTGATTAGTGTTGCCCTCATCATTTTAAGGTGGGACAAATAAAGGACAGTGATTGATGGATTCCCCTGGATGTGTTTCCACTCCAACCCAGCTTTACCTGCCAGGGGAAAAATAACCTCTAATCACTGCACTTCATGTTTGAAGGGGCAGGCATGCACAGGTGACTGGGGTAGAGGATTCAGCAAATATTATCTGCACCAGTGACCTCTCACTCAGGCTACTTCTATCATTTACATCACATTGAAACCTTGTTCCTCTCTTCTCCAACCTGGTATCTTCCAGATGTGATGAATTACAGTTCCAAGAATTCCCAGCCAGCATGGCCAGTGGCCCATACAACTGAAGAACAGTAGATTGAGAAATGATTATTTATTCAGTGGTGGCCATTTGCTGCCAGAAGGCAATTTTTCCTGTGTTTTGGGAACATGCAAACTACAGGTGGATTTGAATGCTACACATTCATTTTCATTCCTCTTCTTCCTGCAGCCTCAGTATCCCAGGTGAATTCTGCCCTGAAGAATCCTCCCAACCTTCCAAGGCAGCCTCTGAGTGGCCCTGATCCTTTCCACAAGTGGCAGCCAAAAGGCATGACTCCTAGAGCACACTCAGCTGCTGAAAGTATAGCTGCCCCGGGGCACTTCTGTACACTTCTTGTATTCTCTGCATTGGTTTGCAGTGCCATAGTGTTCTTGCTGTTCCACCCTGGGGCTGAGGACGATGAAGGAAGAGAGGTCTCAAAGGCCATCCCACTAGTGAACGGGGAGTAAAAAGCTCAGTGTTCTGCCAGCTTCCTGCTCCACCCTCCATAATTTCTTGTTCTATTTGTGGCAAATCATTTCCTTGCGGTGTCTTTTTCTGGAGACTATATGGAAGGAATGGCAAAGCTGCCACTAGAATAACTCCAAAATAAGATGGGGGGTGGATGGTTCCAGAAAGGAGGGGGGAAATCCCAGGATGCAGGAAGTAGGATGAGGAGGGAGGAAATACTCCAGCACTCCAGAGGAAGTGCTACCAACTGTTTTCATGGCATTCTCTCTCAAGCAGCAGAGGAGCTGGAGGTGAATTAGCTCAGCTGCTGAAGACCTGCCCAAGACCAATGGGATTGTGAGAATGCAGGAGTGTAACACTGATCCCAGATGGGTGCAGCCTTTGCATATGTAAGGGGTTCAGTCAAGTAAATGCTATATTTAGCTGCCTATGTTGCAGTTATATGGGGGGGGGGGAAAGATGCCACGGCATGTGGCTTATGCTTATGCACCAGAAAGGATGTTGAACAAAAATCTTGGGAACAAGGAAGAAAGTCTTTAGGGAAACAGAAACTACAGTTAGGGGACCGACAAAGGTCTGTAGGAGACAGGAGATTTTAACACCCATCTTTTATGACCTTTACAAAAAGCTTTCTTCTGAATCTGTTATTTGCCTTGAAAGGAAAGTATGTGCTGGCACCAACTGACTAACGAACAATAACTAACTAACACTACCAAAACAAACAGGCCCATATGTGTGCGTTACGGAATCCGCTCTCTTAACCGTACGTACAAGGATTCATAGAATTCCATTTCCAATAATTCATCAAGGAACTTTTAATAACATGGTTTTTTAAAAAAGAAACAGTTGTCATGTCAGGACAGCAACAGTTCTCATGTTTGCATACTTGACTGCCTGGCTGGTTCGTTTATGAGCCTTCAGGAGTAAGCTGCAGATTTTGCAAGGCACTCTCAGAGGCCAGGGAAGATGCAGCATAGAAAAGAAATTATATCTGCATTGCCAGATTCTGTGTAGTTGGGAACCATAATTCAGTTTCTGACATTCTGCAAAACTAGATTTCAAAACAATCCCAGTTTGTGGGAATATGGCCACACATACATTGAAATGTGACCAGAAATCCAGATGTAGCTCCTTTTTCTTCTCAAGCATCTGTGATCCTATTGGCTCAAGAGCAGAAAGATGAGAACCACATGCCAAAGCTATCATTTAGAAAACATGAAAACCCATAAATATGAGCAGTGCAAAAAATGGGAAGAGAGAACTTGTTCAGGTTAGAGACCTAATCATGTACAGGAAACTGTTCTTTGCTTAATAAGCTGCCATAGTACTAAAGAACCAGCCACCACTTCCAACCTGGTTACAAATGGAACAAGTTCCATCATCTTTTTAGATGTTTATTAAATCTCACCTGTCAAAATTATTAACAGCATTTTTAATAACACTATATATCCACATACTTTTAAATCAGAGGAACATCTTCAGTGCTACAGCAACTACCATAGGTTCCCATGAAAGTCTTGAAAACTACGGAATGAAGATTTGGGATCTGAAGTTAAGAGTCAGATTGAAGGTCTGTATCATAGAGGTGGGAGGGACAACTCAAGCTCCCACCTGAAGACATGGACATCTTCAGAAGGGGCAAGCAAGGCCAATTTAGGGGTTTGGTTTTTCCTTTTTTACATTCTAAGGATGAGAATGGCAGCAGGAAGCATCTGCTAAGAGGGCAAATTTTCCTATACTATATCTCCCCATTCCCAATGGCCTGAAAACATAATAGGACTGATTTAAGGCTATTTTTGAGAGTTTGTGGACATTGATGGAAAAAATGGTTTGACTTCCAGAGACCTCCTACATCTCTTTCCTTCTTAATTCCACAGAAAATGAAAAAGGGAAAGAGAGCAAGGGGGGAAAATAATCCTTCCCAAAAGGTTGATTTTAGGTTGTTTGGGGGAGATGTAAAGGTAGGTATGAAAATGAACGTGGTAGGCCTTTGAGGATTGCCCCACATATAGCAGAAATATCCAGAAGAATCCATCTCAGAGTTTAGTTATCCAGAATTTATTATAAAAATAATTCATAGACAGTACTATATCCTTTTAAAATGGCATTATGTTAATTTAAATCTTTCTAGAATTCACTGGTTAGATTGTAATATATTTGGTTCATATTATCCCTTCTGATTGCAGTGTCCACTTAGTTATTGATTTTGGTCAAAAGTATTTAGGAAAATTAAAAAAAACATTACTCAACAATTGCTGATAATTAATTCTATATAGGTTCATGGCTTATATTTATCAAGACCTAAACTATTGCACTACAAGAAATTAATTCTTTTTTTTTCCTGTTACCTGCCAGATTAACTATTACAAAACATTCAGAAATTGTAGTACATCTTTCTTCAGAACAATGATATTTAAAAGTGTGGGAAATAGCACTGACTGAAAGACAAATACAACAGCAAGAGGGGCCCTGAGATAATCTAATCCAGTGTTTCTCAACCTTGGCAACTTTAAGATGTGTGGACTTCTACTCCCAGAATTCCCCATGCTGGCTGGGGAATTCTAGGAATTGAAGTCCACACATCTTAAAGTTGCCAAGGTTGAGATGTGTGGACTTCTACTCCCAGAATTCCCCATGCTGGCTGGGGAATTCTAGGAATTGAAGTCCACACATCTTAAAGTTGCCAAGGTTGAGATGTGTGGACTTCTACTCCCAGAATTCCCCATGCTGGCTGGGGAATTCTAGGAATTGAAGTCCACACATCTTAAAGTTGCCAAGGTTGAGAAACACTGATCTAATCCAACTCTCTGCCCAGTGCAGGAATACCCCACTACGTCATCCCTAATAGTCTCTCCTTAAACATCTCTGATCAAGGAGACCCCACCATTTCCACAGTTAGTTTGTCCCATTGTTCGGCAGCTGCTATGACTGGGTTTTTGGGTTTTTTTCCAAATCAGGCCCCTCCTTAAGTTGACCAATTGCATTTTTTAATGTTTACTTTTATAGGTCCTTTGTTTGTTGTGAATTCTTTTTAAGTCTTGGTTGATCTATTGCTCTACTAATAAAGAAGAAAATACAATAAAAATAAATAAGGAGCCCCAAAAGGAATGGCTTTACTAGATGTATTTCTCTACTCCTAATCCTATGCCTTCGTATCTAATTACTAATATCCAGTTATTAGAAGAAAGGCTACAATTTGTATTTTCAACTTTCTTTTTCATTTCTAACTTTTAACTTTGTAACTTTAAAATTTCAATAAAATATTATTAAGAAGAAAGGCTAAACAAATTAATTCCCAACTCCAGTCCAAGCAGTTTCTTACCAACAATATGATAGCTATTGCATGGTATGATTATGTTTTCTTATACATGTAGGCAAAATTATATTTTGAATCCAAATAATGCTATGATTTAAAAGAATACTTTAAAACATTGGTTCTGCAGGTTCTGAAAAGTCCACCCCTATATCAAATAAATGACAGAGGACATAATAATAAATAAAATATATAATCTAGATAGAAGGAATTAATCTTAGTAAGATAACTTTTGAAGATTTAGGGAAACTCCAATTGTATTTACACAATTCATTTTCCTAAAATAAACTATTTCTTCTGTTGTGAAATTATTATATACTTCCTTATTTTCATTAAAAGGACATCAGTTTTGTGGCCAAACACTAAAGTAAACATTTCAAGCAGATTTTCATGTTCCCAACATGATAAAACATTATTTATGGCCCCAGCAGAGAAATGCGATACTGAGTCAGATTTTTTTCATCTTCATTCAACATGAGACAGTTACTTTTAATTAGCTGCAGCTTAAAATGCCTCTATGAATTAATGCATTTGGATATAATTGAAAAGATATGTAAGACAATGCAAAGGTGCTTTCTGGCAACCTACTTTGCACTTGAATTATTCATTCAAAGTTTAAAATTTAGCAGCCATTTCCTCCAGAGAAGGAAAAAGTCAACAGAGTAGAAATCCAATATAGTAATATTGTATTATAAAGGTAATATATCTTTCATAGTATCACGTTATAATAACTTTCTTGAATGTTCAAATGAATAAGGACTCTAGATCAGATCTATTAGCCACCAGTTATTTCCAATGTGATGATACAGAAGGCCATTATTCCATGCACCTAAATGTACTTTTGGTGGTTTCCTGCAACTGCTGGATTAATGCCACACATGCATAGAGGCTTACCCATAATGCTATTCCCTTTTAGGGTAAGGAATGTTCTGCAAACTGGAGAAAGGAGTAAGAAATAGTAGTCACAGAAATCAAAGCATGAAGTAAGCAAAAGAAATGTAATGAAATACTTTACATAATAACTACTTTATACCCAGGTGTACTGCTTCATTACATTGCCTTTTGTCTTTGAGATTTCTTATCTCTCGTTTTCAGGATCTCATCAACTCCATCCAACCACAACATACCTGAAGTCGTCCCTCTCCTCTACACCAGACACTACTGGTTGAGATGAAAAGGCCCCACTGATAAATGAAAAACCATCATGGCCTGCAAAGAAATACCTGCTGCCCTGATCAGCTGGGCTTAGCTGGCAGTGGTGGTGAGGGCCTGGAGACATTGGAAGTGCTCAGCAGCATGTCTTTTGGGGTGGTGGTGAATTTATTGACTTTTTAAAAAATGCCAATGGGCTGCCCAAGGCTGTTTGGCAGGGTACATGTCATCCCGGGGTTATCTGTTGTGCAAGCCTGCTTTAAATCCATTCATTCTTATTTGATTCACACTTATTCTCTCTGTTATGGCCAACCTCCCTCAGCCTATTTCTTTGGAACTAACCACTTAGTTTTGTATTCAGTTCAAATTCATTCATTCATTCTTGATCCTAACCTATCTTGTTTTACCCCTCGCACTTAAATAACCCATTTCCACTGCATTCAACTGTTAGGTTTCTCCTGAGAGACCAAAGTCTCATTTCTGTAAATATGGGAAGAAATATTCACTTATACATACAGTGACCATGCATCCTTTATTATAAAGGACAGTCCTTTATTTCAGAAAGCTAATTTTTATTAAGACAGCCAGTGTGGTGTAGTGGTTAAGGCATCAGGTTAGAAACTGGGAGAATGTGAGTTCTAGTTCCACCTTAGGCACGAAGCCAGCTGGGTCACCTTGGGCCAGTCCCTCTCTCTCAGCCCTAGGAAGAAGGAGGCAAGGGCAAACCCCTTCCAAAATCTTGTCAAGAAAACTACAGGGACTTGTCCAGGCATTCGCCAGGAGTCAACCCTGACTCAGAGACAACAACAACAGCAGCAGCAAAAGAAAAAAGAAAAGAAAATATTAGAATGTGTTTTTGTAAAGTTTTTCTTGGTTTTGCTCTTGAATTTTCCTGTGTAAAGCAAAGTTATAAACATAAACAATTAATTTTTTTATCCTTAGGAACCTCTTCTGGGTTTTCCCCTTTTCCAGGCTTGTCCTTTATTTCTTCCAAGAAAATATGGTCACGGTACTTATACACAGCCATTTTATCTTCTGACATTCATTCCTCACAACACACTGCCTATTATTCACTGCCCTTCTGTCAGCAGCTGCACAGCTTAATATTTCTCCAGCCATTTTCCTACCTTTAGTAAATCTTCTAACAATGTACCCAAATCTTCAGGTTTTATATATACAATGTAATCATTCATATTATTTTCCCTGTCAACTACAACCACTTTGGTCATTGCTACATTAATTTCCAGAACCTTACTACATCCATGGGTATTTTGTTTTGGGCTGATGGAGGGCCAGATCTCTGGCTCTTTGATTACTAAGCACATTACTTGTTTTCTGCCACTCCTTGCCAACAAGTGGTTTTATGTGGCTATACTCTTTGCTCTTTTTATTAATGGGAGGGGAGCCGAGTTGGCAGCACTCCACATGCTGCTTCTGGGCACTGCCAACTCAGCAGCTCTCAACCCCCACTGACCGCCACTTGCAGCACTAAGCAAGGACGGACTTCCCTCTTCACCCAGGGCCCTCCTCCGGCCTGCTGCTAGCCTGACAGCACAGAGGAAAGGCATAGGATGCAGCAGGGGGAGCACCCCAGGTGTGCCTCACAACCTCTCCTCCATACCTGTAACCCATCAGTTGGGCTCTTTCGGAACACCAGTTGAGTGCGCTTTTGAAAAAGTGCTCAATCCATGTCCAAAACTAGCCCAGCTGAGAGACTGGAGGAAGAGCCTGGAATGTAGTGAGACAAAAGCTCCCTCTTGCTTAAAAATGCAGTGCATCTGGAGAACACATCCTGTTGTTCTGTTGGCACCAATTCAGGTAAAGCTACAGTCATTAAATGGAAATTAATTGAAATGTGTGGCCACAATCCCGCCCAATTTTTTTTTTTTACCTTTTTTTTTGCCTCTAAATCAGATTTGACTCCTGCCCTGGCAATTTAGTCGACACATTCCTGGAAGTAGTTTGCCATGGCCTTCTTCCTAGGGCTGGGAGAGAGTGATTGGCTCAAAGTCACCCATCTGGCTTCCATGCAAAAGGAGGACCAGAACTCAGATTTTCCCACTCCTAGTCCAACGCTTTAACTATTAGACGAAATGAGCTCTCCTGGGTGCTCTGAAGCCCATTGATTTGGATTGGCAATACGCAGAGTACTTTGTTGGAATGTACTACAGTAGTACTGTTTGGCATCGTGTTCATCTTTGGTCAGATGATGCCATTATGCTATTCAGTAACACATTAATTAATTAGGTAAATAAGTGGGGACTTTGCACTGAACGTTTCTGTTTACTTGCTCAGGCATACCTAAGGCTGCAATCTTTTCAATTTACTTGGAATAAGTCCCATTGAATGTTTACTACTAAATAGTGAAGTCATACATATGTAGGACAGTACTGAATGGGGGGTTCTTTTGCTTTGCATTTTAAATGACATATTCTATGTTAGGTAAGCAAACAATAGGATTTCCCCTCTCTTTCCCAATCTAATTTATTCAATGGTTGGTGTGGGTCTTCTGGGCTGTGTGGCCGTGTTCTGGAAGTTTTGTTTCCTAAACAAAGATTAGGAACATCTCTGTTCAGAGAACATCTCTGAAGATGCCGGTCACAGATGCTGGCGAAACGTTAGGAAACAAAA